AGGGTGATCGTCTCCGGTCGCCGCGAAATGACGTCAGAGCCCAGCGTTCCCACACCGCGCCTGCGCAGGACCCGGCGACGGCGCGAGGGACGGGAGAGGGCGGAGCCACTGCGGGGAGCGGCGTCCCAGGCGGCCCCACTGCGCTTGCGCCGCCCCGCCCCTCACCGAGAGGCCAATGTGCTCGCCGTACCCGCCCCTGACGACGCGGGCCCCGCCCCTTAGAGACGCGCCGCGGCGGAGCCGAAATCCTCCCGGGTGGCTGGCGGGTCCTGGGCCCGGCTGGCGGCTGGGGTCCCGGGAGCCCATCGCCATGAAGCTGACGCGCAAGATGGTCCTGTCCAGGGCCAAGGCCTCGGAGCTGCACAGCGTGAGGAAGCTCAACTGCTGGTGAGACTCAGAAGCCGGGGGCCTCCCCGCTGCCCGCACCCCTGCCCTGGAGCGGGGACCCAGCCCGCCACCGCCTCCCCGGGCGGGGGCCACCCCTCCTGGCACCTCCGCCCTGGGGCGGGGCCGAGAACGGCCGCTGAAGGAGCCGGTGGGCACGGCGGAGGCGCCTCCAGCCTCCCTGGCTCCTGTCCCAGGCTGGCCTTCCGGGCCCAAGGGCCCACGGCCTCGGGGAGGCGCTGCCACGAGCCCAGGTGGCCATTGGCAAAGGTCATTCCAGAATTCTCACACCCACACCCCACCCTTCCCAGGGGTGATGTTTCAGACCCAGGCTCCACGCCTGCTGTCCTGGCTGGGAACAATTAGAGTCACCTTGCAGACTCGGTGGGGCTTCTAGATGGCTTTAGTGGGTCTGATTTCTGACGCTGCCAGTCATTGGGAACCAAGTCTGCTAACGAGGCGGGAGATCAAGGTGATTAAAACCATTTCTAGGGGACTCTTCAGTGCTGATTTAACAATCATTTCTGTAACTGGCCCTGCGGGAGAGGAACTGTCCCCAGGTCACTCGGTGTCTGGGAGGTGACCAGGGGATATAGGTGCTGTGGGGTTAGTGCAGGCTCCAAGGCAGGGTGGTCTAACTGGGCCAAGGCAGGACCAGAAGTGCTTCATGAACTCCTGAAAGAGGTACAGGTGTCCACTGGGGACTGAGTGAGGCTTCACACGTGACTGTGAACTGGACACTTCAGGTGGGGAGTAGGGAGCTCAGCCAAGAGCAGACCTTCCTCCCGCAGTGGATTGCCTGCAGGGTAGGAGCTCTGTCTGTCCATTAAAAAGCTTTTCTCCTCGCTCTGGCACACCTGCCACTCTGGCCACAACATCCCATCATTCGTTTCCAATCATGCATTTCTCTGTTCTGCATGGGGTTGTCGTACCTTCTCTAAGCAGGGAGAAACGGCAACCCTATTTCAGGCTTTCTAAAGTGCTTCATAAGTTGCATGTTTAGCCTTTGAACTTGGCGTCTTATAAAGACTCCCTTGTTTGTTTACGTTGGCGAGGGAAATGATCCTGCTGCCACAGCCTTGAGAAGGAGTCGATCTTGTGTCCCCCAAATGGAATAGCCGCTACCACTCCTGAGTCTGAGAAGCAGCCCTCAGGCACCAAATATATGTATGGTTTTGTTGAAAATCAACCATGAAACGATTTTTGACACCTTTTACAGTTATCTGAACAAGCTTTTACTTTGTCATTGAAATCATAGGATCTTAAAATTTGTAGGCATTTGTTGTTAATTTTTGGAGTTTTTAATTTTTTTGTATTAACCTTTAACAAAATTAAAGTACATATGTCTTTTCTTTCCCCAGGGGCAGCCGCCTCACAGATGTAAGTATTACGCTGATCCCTGATCCCCAGAGTTTTAGCCTCTTGCACAAGGGAATTGTTAAATTGGCAGAACTGCACCCATTCATGCAGGCCCTGGCTTGATACTTTGTTCATTTAGCAGTTGTTGTAAGGTAGAATCACTGATGTAAAAAAAAACCAAAAACACATCCACTTTAAACATGTCACTGAAAGGCTCCTGTGTCCATGCGAGTCTCACGGAAGAGGGAGCAGATCCCACTGCAGTCCTGCTCTGGCCTGGGGAGGAATCAGGGGGCTGGGTTTACTTGAGACTTACATTCGGCTAGGGGTCTCTGTGGGCTCCTGGACTTCATGTCACCAAGGAGGAGGTTCCTCACTTCAGCTCCTCCTCCTCTGGGTCACATCCATTTCATGCCCCCCATAATGGCAGGAAGAGATGGGGCCTGGGAGGACAGTGCACAGAGCTGAGTGAGCTGTGGGTCTGTGAACAGATTTCTTCTTCTCTCAGTCCTAGAATGAATGCCCCCAACTTGCACAGAGTTTGAGTGCCATTCAGTTCTTACCTGCTTTTGTAACTTGTACTGTACATTTCCTTAAAAACAAAGTTTGAATGCTGCTGAGCCACTGGGCTATCCAGAAAAGTTGATTCCACCTCGTGCGGTCGCTGAAGAGCTATATATTTAGTGGAAAAAACCACCACCATTGTAGCAAAAAACAAATCCATTGCACTGACTCATCTTGACCAGATGGTGAGCTTGCTGTGATCAGGGACCATCTGGCTTCATGCCCGGTGAATGGCAGACACCTAGATACCTGGGCTCTGCACCACTCAACAACCTGACAGGTTGAGGGACCTGCCTGAGCCCCTTGCTGCTGTTTCGCACTGAATAAACAGTGTTAATACAATCTGAGAACCCATTTTCAACTCTGTCTCTCTTTTGGCCCAGCCATGTTGGCAAGAAGGGGCTTCATTCCTTTTCCTGTACATCAGGGACAGCAAGAGGAAAGGTTCTTTGTCCAGCATAGGGGGGCATTGAAGTCCCCCTACCTGGTGTCCTTAGAGGGCTTCTAAAATTAGGACTGCTCCATCTTGGCAGCCAGCAGTGTTTGATGGCTGTTTGAGTTTTAGAGAGAGCGCTTCTCCTCCAGGCCGAGGGACTATCTAGGCTGCAGAGTGGAGTGGAACACAAAGCTCGCGTGCTCTCGTGTGTCGCTAGAGCGAGGGGAGGAGAGTGGGGAGGCCACTCCACTTAAGCCCAAGGGGTGGAGCTGACTGTGGCTCCAACCCAGGCTCATGGGAGCAATGCCACGACGCCAGCCAGTGCCCGGCAGTGTCCACAGCCATGTCCTTTTCTTCCCCAGATCTCCATATGCCGGGAAATGCCCAGCCTGGAAGTGATCACCCTCAGGTACCAGAATGCCTGCTGTCTCAGTCACTGGGGCCTGAAAGAGGAGGGGAATCGAGATAACCTGTAAATTCCCCAGGAAAATCCGCTGGCTCCTCGGCTCTGCCCCAGCTCCACCCTCCTTTCTGGAGCTTCACCTGGGCCTCCCCCCTGCTGCGCCCCTGCCCACCTCCACTGCGGGTCAGTGGGAGCAGCCCCCAGTGATGAGCAGCTACCGTCACTGCGGCCACATCTGCCCCCAACAGCCCCTAGTGCCCCATCCTTTCCTGACCTGGTTCCATCACTGCTGGGAACTCTCCCAGTTTCTTTATATCACATACTCTGTCATTGATTGATAAGGTGCGTCTTTTTGAGTCACTGGCATTTTAACAGACTGAGGAAGCCCTGAGTGAACCAAATCATCCGTATTCCGGCAGCTGGGGAGCTTGGAGGGTGTGCCCCGAATGCCCTCCTGCCCACTGTAGATGCAGGGTAGCAGCCGATGCTGGGCATCCCTGCTGCTCTGGTGCTGGCGAGCTTTCTATAGGTCCCCATGTGTCAAACCTGACAGGGATCTGAGCTCTGCAGGGAAGGCAGACTCCCTGTATGGCAGTTCAGAAGGTTCTGGAACTATAGGCCCTGGGTCCTGTGCAGACCTGTGACTTAACTTCCTCATCACACGGCTGGCCGCCCTACTTATCCCTCGATAACCCTCTGCTCATCCTCTGCGCCTTCCTTGGTCACCTGGTGGATGCCCATCCTGCCCACTCTTTGCTCACGGCATCCGTAGCCCTGGCCTAGCCTCTGGTCGGTGCCTTCTCACGGGATGAATGAGCAAATGGGCTCACAGCTGTGCCCAGGGCAAAGTTCAGACCCCTGTGCCTCGGTTTCCCTCTCTGTGACACAAGGTAATACTAACAGATGCTTACGGCACGGTCTCTGCAGCGTCAACAGCGTGTCCACCCTGGAGCCCATGAGCCGGTGCCAGCAGCTGAGCGAGCTCTACCTGCGGAGGAACCGCATTGCCAGCCTGGCCGAGCTCTCCTACCTGAAGGGCCTGCCGCGCCTGCGGGTGCTGTGGCTGGCCGAGAACCCCTGCTGCGGGGCCGACCCCCACCTCTACCGCATGACCGTCCTGCGCAACCTGCCGAATCTGCAGAAGCTGGACAACCAGAGTAGGTGTCCTCACCAAGCCCACCCCAGTGGGGGCCCTCCCTCCTCTGCCCCCCCCCCGAGTCTCCCAGAAGGAACCCCGGGTTTGTGCTTCTTTCAGTGTCCCTGGGATCCATTACAGGGGTGCAGCCCCACGTGCAGAGCATAGGATCTTGGGTGAACCTCACACAACTCATTTGTCCACACTGTCAGCACACACTGGGCTGTTTCTTTTTTTTCTGTTAAGGCTACTTTGCCCCACTCCCTCATCCATGTGCCCTGGCAAGCATGTGAGGAGGTCCGGGCGGGCCGAATGGTGTCGCTGCTGGTGGAAATGCCCCTGTGCTCCTAGCTTCGGCTTACCTGGTGTGGCCTCTACCTGCTGGGGGTGTGGGTTCCACCTGCACCTCCTTCCTGACCCACAGGCAAGCCGCTGCCCTGTGCTGAGGGCACTGTGCGCTTGTGCTCCCGCCTCCGGATTCCTCCTGTTCCCAGGGGCTGGGCCCTGTTTCTGGCTTGTCTGGAATTCTCCATGTGCTGGCTCCTGAGCCTTGTCTTATGTGCACAATTTTCTCCCAAATGCACAATTTTAATATAAATAAACTCCAGGGCAATTAAGTCAAATGGAGTAAGTGCAGTGTATGCTGTTCCTTTTTAAAATTTAATTTGAGGTTTTTTAAATGAGTATTTGCTTTTGGGAAATGCTGAAAGTCAGATTCCCAAGCAGTCATTAGCCATCTGCTGTGCATCTAGCTCATGAGAGGCTGGGGATGGCTGCTGGCGTGGACAGACACACTTTTCTCTACAGCAGACTGTGCTGAGTGACACGGTGCATGGAGGCCTCTCTGATGCTTTTGCCCCTCCTTCCCCTCAAAGCTGTGACTGAGGAGGAGCTGTCCCGAGCGTTGATGGAGGGAGAGGAGGTCACGGCCCCCAGCAGAGAAGGCATGGGGAACGGCAGGCCTGAGCTGTCCTATGCCCTGAATGCCACCACCGAGACCCAAGGAGATCTGCTGAGCTACAGCGAGGAGGAGGCGAGGTGCGCCAGTGGGCCTGTCCTGGGTTCGCCCTCTTGGGGACAGTCAGCGCGCTGCCACTCCCTCTCTGGGGAGGGAGGCAAGCGAGTTGCCCTGGGTGGCTCTTTCTCACCTGGCCCTCAATGGCCAAAAGGGCATTCAAGGCACATGTGTGAAAGTGCGGGACCAGCCCTGTGCGGGGGTGGCCTGGAGGTGGGAATTGGTGAAGTGGATCAGTGGCACCTGGGGGCCAGCTGGTGGAGGGAATGCCCACTGGAGGAGCCTCCAGGGAAGGGGAAGCAGCCACTGAGGGAGCTGATTGTTGTGAATGTTGTAGAGACGGCTGTCTCCAGCGGGGCTGCTTTGTCCTTGCCTCTCACATGCATCACTGGTGTCTAGTAGCCCCACCCTTGACCCTGGGTAGAGCAAGGCAGCCCCCAGGGAACCAGAGAGAAATAGGTGCTGGAGCACCTTCCCACCTTCCCAAGCGGTGCTCCTGTCCCTCCAGAAGTGATGTCACGTGGTGGGCGTTTCCCTTCATACTGGGGGTGGGGAACTGCTGTCAGGCGTCTTCCTCACTGTGGTCTAAGGCTCTGGGAACTGGCCCTGCAGAGATGGGGCCTGAGCTGCTCAGCCACACACACTGTCATCATCCCCCACCACAGCGTCCAGGGACAGCTCGGCCTGAAGCCCCCGGCCCGGTTTCCTTCCTTTTCCCAGAGGGAGGCTGCGAGCAGTCGCAAGAACAGGGTGAGTGTGACGTGGTGGCCAATGGCTGCTTCTGCCCAGGGTGTGGAAATTGTGGTGGGAGTGGGACGGGGGACTGTAGACACTGCAAGGACTAACAAAGCCAGGCCCCAGGGGGTGGGGAGCCGCCCTGTGTGTCCACTGCCTGTGTGTGGAGACTGTGGGGCCTGAGGCTGCAGGGAGAGCCTTTGAGGTTTGCTGATGTGCAGAGGCCTCCTGCCTATCGTCAGATGTGGTGACTCCTGGTCCTGGCTGGGGCGGTGCCATGTCACCTCAGTGACTGGGAAGCAGGCCCCGTGGCTCCAGAGCCTTCTCCATAAGGATGACATGTTGGGCCGCTCAGATGCTCCTCATTCCTGCTTGGCCACTGACTGAGGGCCAGTTGCTCAGCCACTCGGCCTCCAGGATGTGAGCATGAGAGGAGTCCCCAGGTAGTGAGTGCCACACCAGAGCTGGGACCCAAGGCTGCACGAGTCTCCATCCGCGTGGCCTGTTGGTTTCCGGGAAGGCCGATCCCCCGTGACGTGGCATGCTGCTGGCCAGGGCTCTGGGCACGCAGTGGTGTGGGCAGCCTGGCCTTGCTGGGCGTGGCACTCAGCCATTGCCTCTCTCTGCCCCCAGAACAACGTCCTGACTGCCATCCTGCTGCTGCTGCGGGACTTGGACACGGAGGGGCTGGAAGCTGTGCACCAGACTGTGGTCAGCCGGCTGCAGGCCCTGCACAAGCAGGAGCTGCAGGACATGGAGTGACCCAATGGGGACCCCTTCACTGCCAGGCCCTCCACGGGACCCTGTACTGAAGTCCCAGCATCTTCCTGAGCACCTAGGACGTGAGACTGATTGCCATGGCGACGGCCATGGCCACTGCTGGATCCCAGGCTGAGTCCCAGCGCGTGGGGCTGTCCTCAGGAAGCCTCAGCCCACCCTGGAAGGCTGAGCTCTTACTTCCGATGGCACCCGGTGAGGGCAGGAGGGGCGTCTGGCGCTGGCTGGGCAGACCCCATTCCCAAGCCCTCCAGTGTGGGAGGCCCACCTTGACTCCACACTTCTCCCTAATAAATATTTCCCAAAGTTGACCTGGAAGCAGGTTTCCTAAATGACAGACACGGCCTCGCGTTCTTTGTGAAGGTGAGAGCCGTTGCTCACGCATCTTCCCCAGTCAGCTTGACTCGGCCATGGGGTGGATTCCTGGGCCACAGGAGCCTTCCAGAATCACAGCCTCCCTCCTCGGGTGAGCATCCGCAGAGGTTTGTGTGGACCCTTCGTGGGAGGCCTGGGACAGGCCCACAGCAGCTGTCTGGGGGGTCTAGGTGTGGCCACAGGTGAAGCAGCCGAGTGGGGCAGGACAGCCTTCTGGAAACTGCATCTGAAACGTGTTCTTCCTCTGGGAAGAGTCGCAGCCTTGCCGTGGTGCACAGTATCCAGTGGGGGCCTTACTAGTGTCCCCAAAGCCGAGGAAGCCTCCACGTGGAAGGGGAGCAGCGTGACCCCCCAGCCACGAGAGACAGTCCTTTCTCACTGCTATGGAAATGGCTACGACTGGAGAGAAGACAGGCTCTTCCCTCTGCCCCTTTCTGCCCTCTGCGGGGGGGAGTGTCCACATCCTCAAGAGAGCTGAGGGCGCCAGCTTGTGTGTGAGCCGCACAAACCAAGGAGGTGACGCAGCATGTGACACCAGTGATGGAGGGACAGCGTCCAGAAGACCACGGCTCCTTCATGAAGCTGCACCGTGGAGCCAGCTCTTTCCAGGCAGCTGAAGACCTCCGGACGCGGGATCAGGGAAGCCCGAGCAGAGGCAGTGCCTCATCCGTGGGCTCTTCTGTAGTTTGTCAGGACAAGGAGGTGAGCTCTGAGCAGTGGGGGCCAAGGGCTCACTGCGTGGGGTGGTCTGCGAAGGGTGGCTGCAGGGCCCTCACGTGTCCCTTCTCGTCACTGTGGGACAATGCTCTCAATAAATCTGTGCCTTGGATGGAACACGCTAGGGGTGTTTGTATGAATTACGAACGCCCTCCCTTGCCCCACTCACCACGCAGGGCTCACACCAATTCCCTCCCGCCTGCCCCACAGCCTGGAGCTTCTCACTCAGGGACCCTGGAATTGGACTCCCCAGGGTGAGCTGCCCGCCTCAGCCCCTCGGCTCCTCACCGCCCCCCACCAGGGTCCCCCACCAGATCAGAGGCCCTGACAGCTCACTGGGCCGCACTCCCCACCACCTGCTCACTCAGTGGCCTCCAAAGCCCTCATGCTGGGGGCATGTTTACCCTCTGGTCTTCAACAGGGACACCTGACAGTCCCCATGCTGAACTTCCCAAGTGACCCTGAACACTGCAGGGCTTGGCATTACACCCTGTGTGTGTCCTGTTAGCCCCCGATTACACAGGACAGGACAGACCCAGGATGCTTCACAGCCTGCTCAGAACAGCCCCCACTCACAGCAGGCAGAGCAGACCGAGGGCCCAGCTCCAGAAGTGAGCACCAAGGAGCCCTCAGGTGCGGCTGGTGTGGGCCCCTGGCACAGGGACATCACACCTGCTGTCCTCATAGAGTGACCGAGGCTCCCGGACAAGGTCTGTCAGGACATGAAGGCAGCCTGAGGGATGAAGGGCCCAACCCTGTCCCTACAGCCACCAAGCCTGGCCCAGCCAGAAGACCTCTGCCGAGGACCCCCGCCCCATGTGGCCTGTGAACCTCCCAAGCCCAGGGCCTCCCCACAAAACATTACAAGTCCCAGAACCTCACCCTGAGCCTCTGTAGCACTGAGGGCAGGAGTCCAGGCTGAGCAGCCCTGGACTAAGTGCCCAGGTAGCCGCTGTGGGAAGAGACCTGGGCAGTGCAGCAAGCTCAGGAGTGACAGGTCCCACCAAGCTTACCTCCGTGTTGTCCAGTTCAGCTCATCCCTTTGGGTGCCCGTCCATACCATGCTGTGGATCAAAGCTCTCGCTGCCCCAGAACTTCTGGAGGATTGGCCATGGCCCGTGGTGGTGAAGTTTCTGGCTGCTTCCCTTCTCGATGCCCACCCCCACCAGGGTCTCCCAGCAATCTTGCTCATATCAGCCACCTGCCCCAGGACCCTTGGCTCTGCTTCAGAGACCCCAGCCCAGGCTAAGGCTGGGGGACCATTCAAGGTCAGACTTGGAGCCCAGAACCAGACTAAAAAGCCTTATCCTGGGGGAGGCCAGGCTTGTCACCTCTTAGGACAGGGCTGAGTCGTCTCAGGTCACCCCTCAGGACATCCTGGAGGGGCTCAGGTCACCCCTAAGGACAGTCTGGAGAGGTTCAGGATGGCCAGTGGAGGCTCAGGTCCCCCTATCAGCAGAGAGGGGCCTACTGGCCCTGGGAAGTGAGTGTGGCTCAGAGTGTATGTCTCTGAGACCCCCTGGCCCCGGAGCCAGAGGACAGCACCAGAACCAACCCCTTTGCAACCACCGGAAAGCCCAACCTCCCTGCCAAGTCCCATGGGCCCAGCTTTCTAGAGACCGATAGCACTCCACTGTTGGGGTGATTTTATTTCTATAAAAGATGACAAGCTCTGCTCAGCTAGTGTCCAGTGCACAGGAGCAGGGTCACAGCAAGGCCCCTGGGGTCATACCCCTTGGCACAAAGACTAGGATGCTAGACCCCAAGGGTTGGTGAGGGTGAATGGCCAGCATGGGGAGAGGCTCAGGACGATGTGGGGGTCCAAGGAGGAAAGGCAGTGGATGCTTCATGCTCCCTGGGATGGAAGGTGGGTGCCCAGGGTGCTCTGTTCTGGAGGCTGGGGCCATGAGAACCCAGGGCAGAGCTGAGAGGGAACCAGCCTGCCCACCACCTGCCTTCCTGCCCGCAGGCTCCAGGCGGCAGCAACTGGGCAAAGAGGGGCCGGGCGGCCGAGAGGGTGGTGGGGTAGCCTCAGAAGCCCTTGTCAATGCTCAGGGTGCGGCGGGTGACGTGCTCCAGCTCCCCGGACACGTAGTCAGCCATGCTGATGTGGTAGTGCGCCAGCATCTTCAGCATCAGCCGCAGGTTCAGCCACCACTGCTCCCGGGGCATGCGGTGCCTGGGGAGGGCGGGCAGGGCGGGGCAGGGCTCAGGGCACCACCTTGGCCACAGCCCCCACCTGAGACCGCACCCCCTCCTCTGAACCCTGGACCCTACCGGGCCCTTGACATGAGTGGCCCACAGTAGTGGTGTCCGGGGTCCCCCGTCCCTCTGGGGCCTGCAGCCAGGACGGACTCAGCACACTCACCAGGGACAGTATGGGGAGTGTGTGCACTCAGATCTGATGGTCCAGCTGGCCCCTTACCTCTCCCGTCCCAGCACGCCCGCCCGGGAGGTCTGGGCCCAGCAGTCCACCCTCAGTTCCAAGGGACTCACTCAAAGTCAGTGTCCTTCTTGAGCTCAGTGACAGGGCTGAAAGCCACCACCTTCTTCCGAAGGCCAATCACACAGGCAGAGTCGGGGGCATTGGCGAACACCCTCCCTGTAGACACAGGCACGTGTTGCAGCCCACCCCCAGGGCCATGGCAGAGGGCAAGGCCAGGCCGAGCCGCACCGCCACCCCACATACCATTGCGGTAGACAGCCCGAAGCTTCTCAGATACCCAGAGCAGGGCCTTCACCCCCAGCTTGGTCCCATAGTTCCGGTCGAATGGGGTTGGAGCCCCGCCCTGAAACACAGTAGGTGAGGCTACGGTCCAGCCTGTAGGGAGGAGACCCAGCCGAGGCAGGCCCGGTTCCCACTAGTCCCAAAACCCGGCCCCGCGGTGAGCTCTCCAAGCAGTTTCTGACACCCAATCCCCTCTGCCTGCAGCACCCCTGGCCCCTACCTCCACCTCAAATCTGACCTAAAAGCCACTTCCAGAGGCCAGGCAGTGGGTTAACTGTCACCAGATGGGGTGGCCCCTGTGGGCCTATGCATCTGGCAGGCAGGTCCCACTCCAGTGAGCAAGGAACCCCCCAGGAGAGGTGAGTCCTCGGGGAGCACACAGCCCTCACATCGGGCTGGGAAACCCCACAGCTCTAGCTCCTTGCAGGGCCACTAGGAGGCTGAGACGGTGGGGACATGGCGGGTAGAGGTGACCAAAGGGGTCCTGGCCCCACGCCTTCCTAGCCAGTGGGGAGGCCCCAGCAGACAGGAGCACAGTCTCCCCACCTGAGTGATGGGACAATGAGCACTTTGCCCAGGGGTGCAAGGATGAAGCAGCCAATGACCACACCCGGCGCCCCACAGAGATGTGCACAGAGAGGGTCCTCATCTGCGGTGTCCTAGGCTCCCCGCCAGGTGCAGACAGGCAGGGGGCCAGGGACCACGCTCCCCCATGCCATACCTGCTGCAGGTGGCCCAGGACATTGGTCCTGCAGTCGAAAACGCCCTTCCCCTCGGAGGAGTAGAGGTTGTACAGAAACTCCGTGGTGTAGTGCTCATGGCATTTCTCGTTTCTGGGAAGAGAAAGAGGGAAACTGTGAAGTGGGAGCTGCCTCAGGCCTCCCCTGAATGCTGAGTCCGCTGGGCCAGGCCACAGGCCTCTCAGGAACGCTGACCCAAACTACCCCTCTCCAAGCCCCCCCACCTTGTTCTGACCCACTGCCCAGGGTCTGGAAGCCCCCTCCAAGGCTGGGGCAGACCCTCCTGCCCGCCCGGGCCCACCCGCAGCCTCACCGCAGCACCAGGCCCCTCTGGATCTCCGTCTTCATCTTCTCCGTCATGTGTTCCACGTTGGCCTGCAGGAGCAGGGGACACGGTAAGCCAGGGTCGGGGCTGAAGCCAGCACTGCCCCCGCTGCAGCCAGAGGCAGGCTGTCTGGGCAGGAATATTCCAGACTAACAGATAGATGAAGCCAATGGGGCCAAGGGCTGCTGGGGGGCATGGGGGCCTGCAGGTGGCAGGAGGGAGTGGAGAGGTATCAGTTGGACCATGAGGCCATGGACACAGAGTGGGAGTCTGTGGGAGGAAAGGGGCACAGGGGTCATGGCCAGGTCCCCTCTCAGGCAGCGAGCACCCAGCCCTCTGAGCCGTGGCTCCCTGGCCAGGCCCAGGCTCTGTGCCAGGAAGGGGCCTACTCAGCCCCGCAGCAGGAGGAGGTTGAGGGCTCAGCTCACCTTTAAGTCCTGGATGTTAAAAGGGTCCTCGAAGATGTAGGCGGCATCAGCCCCCACGGCGATGCCAGTCACAGTGGCCAGGTAGCCGCAGTAGCCCCCCATCGTCTCCACGATGAACACGCGGCGCTTGGTTCCTGAGGCCGACTGCTTGATTCGGTCACAGCTCTGGGGGCCCAGGGGTGGTCAGGGTCCTCCCCAATGGGCCACGGGACCCGCTATGCTGCGGAGACCAGCTCTCTCCCCAAAGTTGACTGAGGGCGGGCAGGAGGCCACGACACTCCCACGCCCACCTGCCCAGGGCATTGCAGCCCTCACCATGAGCTCCCCACAGGCCACACAGAATTGCCCTCAACAGGAGTGATTCTGCCCCCAGGGGACAATGGTGAAGGCCGGGGACACTGCTAAGAGAATCTCCCTGATCTGTAAACAGGAGGGTCCCTGCTGCCAGTGTAGGTCATTGTGAAGAAGGAATCAGGTGGCATGTGCTCTTCAGATGCTAATGACAATGTGACATATAATCATCAATTACAACATTAAATAGAAGACTGAGCAAAAGGAAATAAAATAACTGGGTCATTGGGGTCTGGACCATGAGGCCCTACCTCCATGGCAGCGTTGACGGCAGTGTCGGAGCCCAGGCTGAAGTCCGTGCCCGGCACGTTGTTGCTGATGGTGGCCGGGATGACGCACATGACGATGCACAGCTCCTCGTAGGAGCCGCGGGCCTCCACCAGCTGCAGCACCCCCTCGTAGGCCTGTGGGGGCGGGCAGGGGCTCAGGGCCAGAGCTGCCCTGCTCCGCCCCCGCCCCCAGCGCCTGGGCTGCCAGCTTTAATCTGAACCACGAAGCCTCAGGAGGAGGTAAAAACCCTCCCAAAACCAAGCATCACTTTCCTT